TATGTTAATTGTACCTCAGATACACATAATCCTATTACATCTATAAAATATTAAATCGACTAGATAAAATTATCAGAAAATGAATAATAAACTACATGTAAAATTAGGGGCAAACTAAGACCCATATGTTAGAGGGGCTGAAATCAAAACCAAAAAGTCAATGTACACAACCCAAACATTTCCCTTTTAATGTGGCCCATTGACCTATAAATCAAACATTAACAAAACAACAATGAGAAGACAAAAAAACAAAAATGTGGAGCAGCAATCATTAGAAGTGATAATAATAGGCATAACTTATAAATAAACACATGAACCACAACTCAAATCCTTACCTTGAAGACTAAACTGAGTTCAGCAAAATCGATCGATTTGTGAAGAATATTCTGGTAGCGCTAGATTTTAGAGAAATTGTTGCTTTGGGGGCATGGTCGAGATTTGTCAACTGTGGGCGTCAAACACTGCATCAACCTAAGTTCTGGTCAGTTTCAGATGAAGAGGCGAAGCGGTGAGAACCATCAGAAGTTCTGACTCTACTCTCAATGAGTTTATTTAGCTTCTTAGGCTAGCCGGGTCGGGATGGGTTTGTGATGAACAATTGTACCCTATAAAATTTTTGAATTGTGAACGCAAAATAATTTGCCACGTAAAAATTTTGATTTCTGACCAAAAAATAATATATGACTAATTAAATCATTAATTTGTGACCAAATTATATAGATTTGTGATCATAATATATTTAATTAGTTAAATATATAATTAATTAATTAAATCATAAATAGATATCTAATTTTTGAAATTTGAAACATTTGTTCTTAATTTTGAAATAGGTGATACTTAACATCTTGGTTATGAATTTTTCCCTTTGTTTATTGAGTTAATTAAATTTGAGTTGGATTGTGGCCTATGTAACTAACTCTAAAAGACTCGTCTCGAATTAATTTGGTACAATTTTTATTTACCATTTGATTTTTAAACTTCTATAACATCGAGCCATAAATAGGAGAAATCAGAGAAGCAATGGGGATTCATTTGGAGGATACAAGGGCTTGATTTGATCTCAAAAGAAAAGACAGTATTAATTTTCTTCGATATAACGAGAGGAGATGTAGCTTGTCAATCTGCATCCCGTTCTTCAGGTATAGTTTTCTTTGATCACATTTTAATAGGTAATCTATCCTTTCTTGCCCATTCATCATAAGGTCTGGTCTAACTCTGAGAAACTATTTTCATTCTTCCTCTCCCGAATATTTCAAAAATATCTTACAAGATCACCTAAGAGAGTAGGGGGTGCTTCTCGAGAAGAAATCATACATTCTTTTCCTTGTAACCAACTACCTTTTGGAGTTGACTTGCTTCCTTAAGCTCTTAGCATTATTGATATAATTGTTGTTGGTGATAAGGGCATGGCTTAAGGAGGTTTAGGCATCGTTCGAAAGACGATTGTAATACATCTTTTCTTTTTTTATTTTAACCAAGATATTGCATTGATGTTCAAAATGAAATTTACCTTGGAATTGTTTGATCATTAATTGATTTGGGCCAAAGTCCTAATTGAAATCACCGAAAGAACCAATGACAAAATATGGTCTTGATCAAATTGTTTTCAAATCTTTGTGGTTTAGTTCGGAATACAATTAACCCAAATCGACTGGGCTAGTTTTGAGTGAGTATTGGCCATGACTCTTAATGGTAATTGTGTGGATCATGAAATACTCATGTGTGGGTCATCATACTTTGAACGTGTTGGCAGTAAATATTGACATTGCTTATATAATACTAATTAAGCATGACAAGTATCATATTAAAATTGATCGAGATGGGATTTATCACTTCTAGGATGGTCGTGGATTTATCCTATAAATTTTTTATTGTTGATTGATTTGGGCAAAGTCAAAATTGGTAATTGAAATCAAAAAATCCATCAACGAAACTTCGAATAGATTAGTTTAGTTTCAAAATTTCGTGGTCCATCTGTCATTGTAACAAGCCCAAATCGATTAACTTATTTGTCTCATTAACATAAAGCATTAATTTTTCGTATGAGCTTTCAAAACAATCCATCCTTATATGGCTATTATTTATAATCGATCAAACAACTATTATTTACAAATATTTCGTGGGACTTACAGAACCACAAACCAATTCGTGGTTGCTAGTTATAATCGGTTAAAAAGTGTACAAGAAATAATTATAAACATTGTCAAGTGTATTTGAAGGTTGGTTGGTTACACAGCTAGAAAAAATACGCAGGATAACTTGGCATCCAAGCCAAAGTTGGTTGTTAGATTGACACATGAAGGTGTTAGATTTCCAGCGACCATACATTGGTCGCTGAAGGAGTTAAATGTTCAGCGACCACTACTTGATCGCTAAAACAGCTGTAAAAATTAATGTGGGTATGCCCCGGCAAAGTGTGTAGTGACCATAAGTTGGTCGCTGAAGGCGTTAGGAACAAGTGACCACTACTTTATTTTTTAAAATAAATATCAGTAATAAATGGAAGACCAATATTCGAGTCCATTAATGTGAAAGGAACAAGTGACAAAAGGTAGAGGTAGGGCAAGGAAATAATAAGATAGTCCATTGGAGTAGTTTGATTTACATTTAAGCTTCACATGTAATGTCTCCACTTTTTTGGATAGATTTGTATTTCATGAAATAACTTCTTCCCAATCACCTCACTTAGTCTATACACTTGTAATTTAATGATAATTAAGGTAAAATTATTCATTTCTTAAATCCCTTTTGCTTAATCTTATCATAATTATATGGACAATCAAATAATTTAGAGGCCTAGTTGTTTGCTCGTTAAATGAGTAGACCATTGATTATTACGTTAACTTAAAATAATACAATTATTATTTGATAAATAACATGTTAAATCCCCCCTAATGGGTCCAAAAATCATAATCGATTGTGAATACAACACCTTGAGTAACATTTTCATAACAAATAAAGAGTATTTACTGTCAATGTGTTTGAGTTTATAAATAATAATTATTGATTTAAAATACTTCATCAATTTATATTTTGCAATTCCAAACCATGCTCTATATTCATATTGCAGTTGCTAACCGAATAATATTTATTCAGAGAGTCTAAGCTTGATTTATTTAATTAAAATCGACGTCACTTGCAAAATGATCATTTTACAACCTTCGACGTGTTTTTGGACCTTTACCTACCATAAGACAACAAGAAACTATCATGTTATGGAGGTCAATAATATAATAGGGGTTGGCCTCTCCAACTTATAATAGTTATATCAAAGCCTGAATAATTTGTAAAAATAGTTGCAATACTTTTGACATGATAAATACATTCTCCAATCAAAAAGTACAGAATATATGAGTTGAATAAAGTTATTTAATCAAATCAAAGAGACACTAATTTTTAGGCTGTTCTTGAATTTGCTTTAAATTTCGTTTTAAATTGATTCGGTTGATATTATGTATTACTAAAGGAAATAGTTGAAGAAACTACTTTTAAACATAATCAAACATTCTCATTATGAAATGAATAATATATAATATTTGGTAGTCATTCTGCATTCCTGATCCTGGAAGGATCTATTGGATTTTTCTTCCAATTTCAAACGGGAGATTGAATTTGATCTTGCTAATGAGATAGATATTTGAATTGATTTTCAATGAGGTTAAAGAAACTTTCGATGATGTTTCTAGTTTGACTTTTGTTTGTCATGAGATAAACCCATGTTGTTCGGCTGTGATCATCAACTATTGTGAGAAAGTAGTGTGCTCCATTCAATGATGCAACAGAAAAAAGGGCCCCAAATATCAAGGTGTATTAAACAAAAATAGCTTCCACAAAATGGTGCCTAGAGGAAAACGGTAATCTGGTCTGTTTTCCCTTATGGCAATCATCACAAAAAACTTTTGCGTCAAAACTAGGAATATTGGGGTCTATGCTATGCAGTAAATTCATTCTTTGATCAGAGGGATGTCCCATTCTAAGATGCCAAATTTTAGTCGTCAAAATAGAGTTCGATAGGGCAGCAAAATGATTTGTTCGGGGCTGGTCCAGTTGCAAATGGTAGAGACCTTGGACTTCCTTAGCAACTCCAATCATCTCCTTGGTTACAAGCTCCTGTATGTAACAATAACCAGCAAGGAAAACACAATGACAGTTCAAGTCTTTGGTCAGTTTACTTGTGGAAATAAGATTAAAGTCGAAGAGTGGAACATAAAGAACATTCGTGAGAGTGAGAGTAGGTGAGATGATTACTGTTCCTATGTGAGTGACAGGTGTGGATGTCCCATTTGGCAGTCTTACTGAAGTGTTTTTTTTATGGCTCTTTTATGTGTTAATAAATTCAGAGAACCAACTATATGGTCTGTGGCTCCTGAATCTAAGATCTAGGTATTTAACTTATTGGAGATATTTGTGCAGCTCAAACAATGTTTAAAGACAACTGATAAAGTTCTTTTGAGATTACCTAGGGTGTTAGAAAGATGGTTACCTAAGAGTTCTGTGTTTGAATTTGTGGTGCTGGATTTCTGACTTTGAAGAAGTGCAATGAGTTGTTGTATCTGCTCCTGAGAAACACTAAGAGTTGAATGACTCCTTGAGTCATTTTCAGTCTCCATCAAATTTATGGCCCTATAATCCTTAGAACCAGATGGTGGTTTGTGGAGCTTGTAGTTGGGAGGATATCCATGGATTTCCCAGCATGTGTCCACGGTATGGTTA